GCTTGCATACAACATCCTCCATAGCCCTATGTCAGCATTTCAGGCCCCTATGCTGCCATTTCATTGGTAGGGCCCGGAGTTTCACTTCCCCGAAGCCCTAACCCCTAAACCCGAAGCTAGTTCAGGGTTTATGGGGTTTAGGGTTGCGCGTTTTGGTTTTCGGGGCCCCCCAGAAGTCCTTGTGAATCATCACCCCTGCTTGAAAGAGCCTTAGCCTTTCCAGGAAGCGTGTTCAGCCTGGGTGTGTTTCGACTTCAGGGCTCGTGCCGGGCTTATGCAACAGAGTTTATCAACATAAGCAGCCCTAGCAAAGGTACTTCAGAACCATAAACCTTCAGCCCTATACCTTCAACCCCAAACCCTAAACCTTCAACCCTAGGCCCTAGACCCTATAAACCCTAAACTCTAAACTCTAAACCAGGCCTTACTCTCCAAACCCTTTCACCAACCCCGAGGCCAGAAATCCCCACCCAGACCTCGGGCAAAGTCTCTCCATTGAGGCTTATTACCCTAAGGGTCCAAAGGACCCGATAACTAGGTACTTAGGTTTCGGATAGTAGTTATGTAGGTTACTATTTGGGAGAGTATATGATTATTAGGTACTTGGACCCTTCGGGTTACAGCTTGAAGAGGCATTAGTTTGAGGACCAGAAGAGGTGTCGAGCTTAGCGTTAAGGGTTTGGTTCAGGGTTTAGGATTCAGGGTATCTTGGAAGTTTTGGTACAGTTCAGATACCAGAGACCACCCGAGAACACAAGCATCCCAAATCCTTGTCCCCACCCCGTCGCCCCCAAACCCTAATATATATATGCTCGTGATGACGTGAAGCCTAGATTTCATACTCGCAGAGGCTTCTAGAGCCCGTATTTTGTCCTTGTATGACCCCACAAAATCCTATGGACGCCTCGCTGACATGATGATGTAAAAGCCCTGCACAAGGTGTCAATAGTTGCAAGCATAGCCATAACCACATACGTAGCAATAACATTATAGTAAGAATCCGAAAGCCTTAAACCGGCCGCAGGAGCTGCCTGGTGATGTCAGCAGCGGTTTCACCTATCCCGCTCAGGAGTGCGAGCGCCATCTGGAGCCATGAAAAAAAGAGCATACTTAGGAAGTTTGATGATGGTGTTGGTTTCGGATGTTGGCAGGGTTTAGGGTTCGGGGTTCTATCACGGTGTTATAGGGTGTCAAACCCTCAACCCTATAAGAAAAGTGTGAAGTCTTGAACACTTCCCTTGAGGGTTCTATAAGAGCTCTATACTGGGGTAGTACGGTTGATGATATAAATCCTGCACTACCTTAAGGACCCTGAACTATGGGAAGTATGGTTTATTCTTTATTATGGGTAATGCAGGATTTATATCATCCACCGTAGTTTGGGTCTGGTTCGGGCTCATGGTTCGGCAGCCAATGGGCTCTGATAGGGTCCCGGGTCCCGGGCTTCTCGGGTTTAGGGTCGAGTTCTATGAGGGCTTTGTACGGCTTTTGTGCAGGGTTGAGGTCTGCAGGTTTCATTTTTATGTAGTCACCTTAAAGCCTGAACCCTAAACACTAAACGCTAAACCCTAAACCCTAGAGCCTATCTATGACATGCAAGGTTGCTTAACTCAACCGTTTGGTCTGAAGCCTGATCCATGAATCCTCATCGGCAGACTTGCAGCGCACCCTTGCGGTCGTGAGCGCCACGCCTGGAAGAGCATGGATCGACGCCAGGCTATAGTCTAAATGAGGGGTTTAGGGTTTGAAGTTTAGGATTTAGTAGTGAACTGACCCTGCTCAGCAGCATACCCGAAACGAGATCTATATATATAATTATATGCATATGTGTATATATATATATGTATATATATATATATGTTTATTTATTTATTTATTTATCCCCATGCCGCCGTACACAACTCCCTCGCCGTACACAACTCCCTGAAGGTCCTGAACCCTAAACACTGAATCCCGAAGCCCTATAAGCCTCGAAACCCAAACCCTAAACCCAAAGGGTTTCAGGGTTTAGGGCTAAGAGTTTCAACCCTTAAACCACCCTAAACCCCAAACAAGCCCGTATGTCACAGGCGCCTTTCTGTGGAAGCCCCAGTGGGTGCGACTCTGGTGGATGTGGCGAAGGTGTCGGCTGTGCACCAATGAGGCTAAACCCTAAACGGTTTAGGGTTTAGAGTTTAGGGTTTTGCAGTCCGTACTTAGATCCCCCAACTACTATACCTACCATACTCGCTAGACTAGAACCGAGCTGTATAGATAAGAGCACCTCGGACGAGGTAGCTGTTGAAGTTGAGTACTAAGCCCTAAACAAGGACTTGAAGGCCTGCACAGATGCGCTGCTTCTACAGAATCATCGGGCTGTGGGCTTCAGAATTACGATCATAGACAGAATTAGGCAATTAGGGTTTAGGGTTTAGGATTTAGGGTTTAGGGTTTAGGAGAAGCTTGAACAAGAATTAGATATTGGAAGCTGGACATGCGACTAGTCCAAGTCTATTTGCTCAGGCCCCCCCTAGATTAAGTGTGTAAGGTTCGGGGTTTCGAAGGCTTCAGGAATTGTTCTGTGTTTTCGAAGTCTACGGCACAGCGCATCGATATAGGACATATCTAGGATTTCTGCTCTGATTGTAGGGCCCGGCACCCTGCGAAAAAGTAGCTACTCAGGGTTTCCTGAATCGCATCTGCGCCGTGACTGCATCCTTGACCCTAAGTCGTCATCCCAAGTCCCGAAACCTGACACCCTAATTCATAGGCCTTGGATTCCAAATTTCCGGATGTTAAACCCATATATCAGCCCTAAACTCTAAGCCCCCCCAATCCCTAAACCCTCAACCCTAAACCCTAAACCCCTAAACCCAAAACCCTCCACCGACAGCATTTGGGTCGAGCTTGCTTCTCTCTTTGCTTGGGTCACTGCGTCGAGCTCGGCTCTGCCGCCAGCATGCCGACTCTTGGACTCGCGAAGAGCAGATAAAGGTTTAGGATTTGGGGCGTAGTCTTTAGGGATGTCTAGGGTTTTGGGTTAAGTGTGTGTGAAGGGTTTGGTTGGTTGGGGTTCAGGTTTTAGGATCTTGGGTACGGTTTAGGGCCATCACCCTCAACTTGGGAACTCTACTAAGGGGCCTTTGTAGGTAACCTTTAACCTTCTGGGGCTTGAATATTCCTACTATAACCCTAAACCCTAAACCCTATATCCATCTATCTATCTATCTATCTATCTATCTATCTATATATATATATTCTAACCCGTAATTCAACAGGTTAGAACTTTTTTGGGCTAGGACGGGGCCGAGAATTGCGAAACTGGAGACGCCCGGGCGGCTCTGGGCTCCGAGGATCCACAGAACTTGGGCAGACCCTAAACACTCTCTTACTATATAATCTAAACCCTAGTGGGCTTCATGGTTTAAGGCCAATTTTCCCCAATTTTTGGCCTTAAAACCATGAAACGGCTGTGGCATGGGGGCTTCAAGGGGTTTCGGGTTCTGAGCCAGGAACATCCTAGGCACTGAATGTAGCTGCTTGACTAGCCAAGTTGCACCTATACATATTATAGTCTCTATATATATATGTATATATAAATGTATGTATATGTAATGTGTATATATATATATATGTATATATATATATAGAGTTACCTTACCTGCATGTTTCCACACGGCTCCTTACTTTATAGCTCAAAAAGATATACCCCCAACTTAATGCAGGTAAACCTCACCTCCTTCCAACTCGTAGACCAGGATCTTGTCCTGCAATCAACTCTCCGACGCTTCAAGGGTTTAGGGTTTAGGGGCTCCGCGACATCTGCCGAAGTGCCGGACGGGAATCGAGCCGGATTCCCAGAGACTCCAAAACCCCTTAATTAAGGACTATACCTTAAATTATCATAGGAACCCTAATGAGATTTCAGGTATCTTCCTTACTAAGGGGTTTTGGAGTCTCTGGATTAGTCATGTAGTCCCAATCTCCCGAGTCGAGCCGCTCCAGGAGACGGCAAACCCTAAGGGTCCATGTACCCAAATAGTATAAACTTTGGCCTTAGTGTAGTCCCTATATAGGTACTTTATAGGGGCAATGTATGTACTATTTGGGTACATGTGCAGGAAAGGCTGGCCGGGGACCAAACCGTTGTCCCGCAGCGTTGAGGAAGCAGACCAACACTGCACCACGTAGCATGGACGTAGCAGCGACGCAGCATCTGTTTTCCGGAATGCGCAGCCCCTCACGACCGGCTGAGTTGTTTTGGGCGGTTTAGGGGTTTGGGCTTCTGGCTTTTGGCTTTACCCTAAAGGTCCAAGTATATAATAATCATATACTCTCCTAAACATTAACTTAGATAACTACTATCCGTAACCAAAGTACCGTTTTTTTGGGTCCTTTGAACCCTTATTGTTATCTGGAAAAGGCATGCCGCTAGCGCATGGGCCATGGTGGAACCAGGGATCAGGCTTTGAAGGTTTGCGCTAAGGATCGCTAAGGGTCCAGGTACCCACATAGTATACCTGAGGCCTCAACAGAGTCAGAGTTCCTGTGCACCTACTTTATAGGGCCTATAGGTACCTGGAGCCTCATAAGTTCCGCGCGAAAGGCTTCTATAGGTTTGGTATTCGGATTGTGAATTAACTACACCAAAAGCACGTGATCTCACATTGCGACCCCAGGAACCTTGTCGAGCCCGACACTCAGTTTCGTGATCATTTCGTGGACTTCCGCGTGGCAAAGACGGTGATGCCGGGCTGGCATTAATGATATATAGGGTTAAGGGTTCCCTGAACTTAGAGAGCCCACGACCTTTTGCTAAAACAGGAATACTCCTTCAATATGCATGTAGCTTCCTGTTCATGACTTACCAAGACCCCATAATTGAAAAGTTTGGGGGATCTCTGGTGATGTCAATACACCTCTCAGCAGCTAAGAAGCACATCCCAAACCATAAAACCTTCACCCTAGACCCTTAAGCCCCGCATCCCAAATCCTACACTCTTCTGCCTGAAGCCCTCAAGGAACACGATCCCCTACGATGCGTCACTCCCCCAGAAGCCGGCCAAAGACACGCCTTTGGGCAACCACAGCAGCAAGAAGGCGCGATCCGGCTCTCGGCTCTAAGTGGCTCTAATATCCCTAAACCCTACGGCTCAAAATAGCCCAAAAGCCCTATGCAGTTTGGTATTTGGGCCCAAACGCTTTAAGATGTGAGTCCTTATAAAGCCTTAGGGTAAAGGCTTCATGTTGGACTTTCGGAGTTGATACGTGTATCCGAACGCCAGGTCCTAAAACAAAGCCAGCAGGTGGGGAAGCTCAGCCCATGTTACATACAACCAGCTTAGCAAGGTCCTGCTCCTACCAGCCGGAAACACTGCACAAACCCCTGGCAGATCACCATCGTCGGCATGGGCCAAGTCGGCTTAGGCTGTGTCTGTGCCATTCTCAACCAGGCGGGAGGTAAAGGGATCTACAGCATGCTATGAAGCTGCCGGAATAGAGGGCTCACGATCTAGATTGCGTAGTTGCAGGCCTTGTGAGTTTACATTTGAAGCGTGTCACGGTGGTTTAGGATGCCTTGCAACTGCGAGCCTTCATTACGGTACTCGCTCAAAATTAGGGCTCCGTATCAGGATGACTACGAGAGTTACTTGCAAGGCTTATCTTGAGGATTGGTGTAAGGAATCCCAAAATGACAAGGATGATTGATTGTTATAGGACTGGGGGTTATTCCAGGGGTTAGTATAGGGGTTATGTCCAAGGGTTATGATCGGGGTTACAATTGGATTGTAGGATGTTAGGATCAGGTCCGATCGAAGCCTGCGCTGTTCCCGGGGGGACCAGTCAGCAAAGAGACGAATTATCTTATAGATTGTAAGGGTCTTGGTACCCTAATCCTAAATTAAACCCTAAACCCTAAACCTTTATTGCGTTCCGGGGTTGAGGTGGATTCGGCTCTCACGGTTGGAAGTAAATCCCCTACACCTAACATTAAGGTGTCTGGTATTTGAGCAGGAACCCTGTCGAGAATTCGCCACCCTAAACTCTAAATATTTCAACTCCTAAGCCCTAAAGCCCCGAAGCAAAAACCCAGGGTTCCCGAAGCCCCTCAGCGCCTGAAGCCGATACATTTAAAAGTCCCCAAAACTCTGACCTGAAAAGCCTCTAAACCCTAACCCCTAACCTAATAAACCCCCAAGAAAACCCGAAACCCCAAGGCCTCCTCGTAGATCCCTTTAAAGGAACCGCTTATAGATCCCTTCCAAGCATCCCTTGAACGCCTGAGTTCTTCCAGGACATCTGCGGGACGCTTGCTCTGATCGACATCGCAGCGAAGAAGTTGGAGGGCGAAGCCAAGGAAATCAGAATCGGGGGTGTAGGCTCTACCTACCTACCTACCTACCTACCTACCTACCTACCTACCTACCTACCTACCTACCTACCCCAAAAAAAACAGTCGGTGTAAGATTATGGCCCGGCACCTAGAAAAGGCATACTTTTTGGATCCAGGTACAGCCTAAAAACAACCCTAGACCCTAAACCCCTATGAGGTATTGTGTAAGGGTCGGGGTTTGCGAGGATTCAGGCTTTGGGGCTTGCGGCTTTCCTCCGAAAGATTCTCTTAGCTGAAGCCCTGCTCTGTCGGCATATGGGTAGTTCTCTAAATTAGGGTCCCGTTTAGGGTCCTTATTATGGTGCCGTACTATATGGGGGACATAACAAGGGACCCTATCTTAGAAAACTACCCGTATGGACCCTATTGATTTTTTTCAGGGCTTCTGCGGGGTTCTGTGGCCTTATGGGTCCAAAGTATCTCATTTGCTTACTGATAGATACCTGAACCCTTGCGGCTGAGGCTTGAGAGATGAGGCTTTATGGGGCTCAAAGCATGTGCTACCTTAATCTACCCAAATCCTACTTTTGAAGTACATCAGGCTTCAGGCAAGGTTGGTGCATGTTTCGTACTTTTTTGGTATAACAACGTAGAAGCATAGTGAAGCTGAAGCAGACACATATATTGAAACTGAAGCATCCGTCGACTAACTACGCAGACCTCTATATTAGAGTGTGGGGTTTAAGGCTTCAGGGTTTCCTAGACATTCCAACTTGACTGATCGGTTTGTTCAGACTATCCGTAGCCGCATTTAGGGGTAGTAAAACTCATGTCATGAAATCTTGTCGTTTTTTCGGGTTTTATGTCGGGTCAGTTGGCTTCCATGGTTTAGGGCTTTTGGCTCTATCTCGAGGTTAAGTTGCTTTCGGTTTTCGGGCTTATTAGGGCCGTTTTGGGGCGTTGAGGCCTGGCTGCAGAGACGCACCCTACACCCTAAACCCTAAACACAGAAGCCGTGAATTCCACTCGCTCACCCCACGGGGTTCTTTGGGAGGCTTCTTCGGACCGAAACACGAGCGCTTAAAAAAACAACAAAATCACAGAAGCTCGCTTATCAGAGCCTCTGAGGCTTAGGATGAATTTAAAGCCCGACTCCGGAAACTCCTAAGCTCTGAAACCACCAGACCTTCCAATATCCCTTATATTTTCTTAGTTTGCCCAATACCCAAGCTTTAAACTTTTTGGGGTTCTTATAATTCAGTAGCAGTCTGAAAGTTTAACCTTCTATGTTTGGGGAAGTGAGTTCAGGAGTGTCCCTTTAAGGGCTCCGTAAAAGGATCCATAATGGGGCTCTATCAGGGAATTAAGGTATAATAGGAGGATCCTAACATGATTTAACGTATTTTCCTAAACTGAGTGATTTTGGAAGGTCTGGGCCCGAAGCCCTGAACCATAACCCCAATACCGATGACCTCCCTAAACCCTGGCCCTAAATATAACCATACCCCCTCCAAGTCCAAACCCGGAACCCCTAAACATCCCTAAGCCCCAAACCCTAAACCCTTAAACCCCAAACCCTTAAACCCTAAACCCCTAAACCCCAAACCCCAAACCCTGAAACCCTCAAAGCCCTTAAACCCTAAACCCAAGACCCCAGGATTTCCAACAAGGGAGCGCCTTCCACCAACACACCCAGATCCTGGCCTCTGACACCTACGATGTCAGTGAGAACTCGGACCCTCCGTAGTTTAGGGTTTAGGGTTTGAAAGTTTAGGGCTTGAAAGTTTAGGGTTTAGGGTTTGGATGTTTAGGGTTTGAAAGTAAAGGGTTTAGGGTTTGAAAGTTTAGGGTTTAGGGTTTGGATGTTTAGGGTTTGAAAGTTAAGGGTTTTGGGTTTGAAAGTTTAGGGTTGGAACGTTTAGGGTTTAGGGTTTGAAAGTTTAGGGTTTAGGGTGTGCAAGGTTAGGGTTTAGGGTTTAGGGTTTGAAAGGTTAGGGCTTAGGGTTTAGGGTTTGAAAGTTTAGGGTTTAGGGTTTGAAAGTTAAGGGTTTAGGGTTTGAAAGTTTATGGTTTCGGGCTTGAAAGTTTAGGGTTTAGGGTTTGGGGTTTGAAAGGTTTGGGTTTAGGGTTTAGGGTTGGGAAGTTTAGGGTTTATAGGGTTTGAAAGTTTAGGGTTTAGGGTTTAGGGAGTACGGTTCAGGGATTTGAAAGCATTGGGGTTTTGGGGTTTAAGGTTTGCAGCCCTGGGCCATAAATCCTACACACTGGGAGACAAGTTTAGGGAGTACTTTGGGGTTTGACTGGGGCTGACGATTGTTCAAAGGATTCCGGGTTCGAGTTTACCTTAAGGCTTACGGCTCCAACGGGCCCAATACCTAGCCACCTGGGTTGAGGAGAGTAGATTTGCAGGTTAGTAGTTGAAAGTCCCAAGATCCGAAAAAAACCTATAATAGAAGCCAGAAGTGTGATACATTGGTATCCTCCTGCCCTTAAGGTCAGGTATAAGGGATCCCTAGCACGACTCCTCCTAAATCTATGTTCCAACTTTCTGGGATTCGCTGCAACATCCCTAAACCCTAAACCCCAACAAACCTAGCAGCTTTGTGTGAGAGGGGAGACGCGTGAACCCAAAAAGCAAGGTTCTCATGTTTTGAGCCCTAAACCCTAAACCGTAAACCCCAAAACCCTTATAAGCCCTAAACCTTAAACCCAAAACCCCAAAACCCTAACCCCTAAAGCCTAAACCGTGCAATCATGGGGTCGGAATAGTTGGTCATAAGGGTTCCTTTACACGGGCTTCGGGTAACCTTCTGTTGCTGTGTAGTATGATGTACACGGAGAACTTCTCCGATTAAGGCCCTATCTAATCTGGGGTTCCAGTCTGCTTCGTTGGGCGCTATACCGACAAAGGCGACCTTTCCACACCCGACATGCTGATTTGGGGTTTGAATGAGCCCTAAACCCTAAACATGATTTAAAGTTTAAGGCTCTTGGGTTAGGGTTTAGGGCTTAGGGTTCCTTATAAAGGGCTCCTTATGAGTTGGGGTTCCAGGACATGGTGGTCATCACTGCCGGTGTGGCTCAGCAACCTGGGGAGTCGCGGCTGAGCCTGGTCGATCGGAACGCCAACATCCTGAAGCTGCTGAGCTGCAAAAAACGCCCCCCCCCCCAAAAAAAAAGAGAAAAAACACAAAATTAGGGTTTAGTGGTTAGGGTTTAGGGTTGCTGCAAAAACTCCCCCCCCAAAAAAAGACATGTCAGATCCTGTCCAGGGCTCAGGGATAGGGGTTTAGGGTTCAGGGTTGAAGGTGAGGGGTTTAGGGTACAATGGTTTGGGGTTCAGGGTTGAGGGGTTTAGGGCCAGTTTAGGGTACAGACTACAGAGGATTAGGATTGAGTCTTTAGGGTTTAGGGGTTCAGGGTATGAGGTACCCTGAACCTCAAACCCTGTACCTTAGATCCTACATACGCTATATGCTCGATCCCGAAGTCCTAAACCTGAACTAATTGCAGACATGTCCGATCGCATGGAAAGGCAATGGCCCCGCGTGCTCAGCACCTTACCCTAAACTCTAAACCCTAAATGTTGTTGCTATTTGAATAGCTGTGATTCTGATTTTCTACAGGCCCTGCACGCGAAGCCCTTCTCGCTAAACTAGTTACTTGCATGGCCCTCTCCTGGTCCTAGCAGGCTCACTATGCGCATCTCTTTTAAGTGACTGGGCTTAGTAAGGAAGGTTATAAGTCCCTTAATTTGGGGGGTAATAAACCAATTATAAGACAGTTACTTGGTTTATACTCCTAGCCCACTATAACTTGGGGGCTATAAAGCAATTATAAGATACTTACTTGGTTTATATTCCTATAGCCTACCGTAAGTCCCATGACCTGTTTTAAAGTGGGCCACCGTCTTTCGGCCCAGGACTTCCTTGGAACGTCGAATAAAGGAACCCTCATGCCCCAGAAGACTTCGGCCTTGCAGTACCTACATAGGAACCCCTTTTGAACACTTTAATGGTTTTGGGTTTAGGGTTTAGCAGTTTAGGGTTTTGGGTTTTGGGGTTTAGGGTTTTGGGTTTTAGGGTTTTGGGTTTTGAGGTTAGGGTACATACTACATGGGTGGTCGGAGCCGTAGGTGGGGAATAGTAATCCGTCATCAAGTTCTTGCAGCTAGGCTTCTGGGTGTGAGCTTATATCCGAGCTTGTGGTCTGAGGAAGATCATGCCGGAGGTGCTCAAGTACTCCCCGTGTCTCCGCAAAGGCTTAGGAAGTCTTGTCCGGGCTTCCACGGTATTTTGGGGAGGGTTTCTGTTAATCACTGTAGTTAATAAATGTTTGCTGTAAATTTCAGATGGTTCATAAGTAGCCAGGAGGTAAGAAGCAACAGACACAGGTGCCCTAAAGGTTTCGTACATACATAAGGGGTTCACCGGGTCTGTACGTTAAGCCGCCTGAACTTTAAACAGCTAAATCCCCAAACCCACACCCTAAACCCTATACGTGAAGCCCTTAGAGCCCACAACATTGCATTACAGGTTAAAAAGCCCCAAAGCCTTTACGACCGAAAGTCGTGACGCACAGACGTGACCAGTCGACCTCCAGGAATGTGGGCCCCAAGCAGGACATAAGCATATTAGGGTTTAGGGTGTAGGGTTTAGGAGCACTTTAGAAGGATGTCCCGAATCCCTACCTTACTGGGCTTCATTGTAGGGGCTGTATGTGTGACTCTAAGGAATGCGACCATCCTAATCGTCAGCAATCCTTGCGACATCATGACGGCGATTGCTGCCAAGCTCGCAGGCATGGTTCTAGAGCGTTTTGATTGGGCTTTAACAGTCTTGTTTTTGTGAGGGCTTTGGGTTTAGTCTTGAGTAGTTAACGCTGCATATCCTGAAGCAAACCCGCCGCACCCGCTTTGTTGCCTGGGAGGCCCCGACTTTCCACAGGGGAAGGCGGGGATGGGCTGGGCATTGAACGACGGCTTCCGGTGTTAAGTTGATGGCTTCCACACCGTTTCTGACAGGTTTGCAAGGCTTCGTATGCAGATATACACATGGTTTTCAGGGTTTAGAATTTTAGGGGTTAGATTATAGTCCCTGCTGTTCCGGCCTTCGCAAGGGCTTCGGATGGTTTTTCGGCTTTGGGCCTTAGGCGGGTCCATGTATAGCGCAGGTTTCTGCAAGTCTTTTGGGGCGCTCTTCTACATGGTTTGCGGCTTTGGGGCTCACAGGTGCGAGGGCGTTGTTTTGGTTTTGGGGTTTCGGCGAAAAGTGTTCCAGAGAGCGACAGGCATTCATTTATCGATTGGAATGAGTCATAAGATGCCCTTATCTGCCCTTTGTAATTACACACCGTCTACTGTACCCCAGTCCCCTCTTCGTAAGCTTCAAGCATTAATTACTTGGCTCCGTCAGTAGCAACGCCCATTGCCTGCAGTCAAACCTCAGTCAACCTAAGCAGGGCCCAATCAAAGGCCTTAAACAAACTTACTACACCCTTCTCCCTACACAGAGTCATTAAATCCCATGGTCAGATAAGACTACCGCACCCTGCCGGCTGGCCACCAAAGGACCCAAGCTAAGCCAACAAGAATGCAGCCCAGAATGAGGTATCCTCAGTCATGTTATGGGTACGTAGTTCTCTAATTAAAGTCTCTTTTTAGGTTCCCAAAATAATACGGGACACCATGTCACAAGGCACCCTAATTCAGCGAACTACCCACGTTATGGTGATAGGATTCCTTGTTGTAAAAGGGGGGGGGGGGGGGGGGGGGG